CGTATAACTGCAAAAAAAAAACAAAACTACAATGCTTTTTTTTTTTTAACTATCTTTGGAGGTACAAATCATCATCAGCACTTTTAAGAAATTTTTTCCGATATTAATACGGAAATTGAAGGAAAATGTCCTCTTTTTGAGCAAATGAATAATTTGAATATACATTAAAAAAAGGATATTTGTGACAATTTTGTCAAAGGAACTGCTTTACCCCACGGTATTTTTATAAATATTGAAAGCTTCTTTCTTATATTCATACAAATGTTTAATGATTTCAGAAAGACTTCTTTAGAATTTCTTTTAATGCTAAGCTTAAAAAGAAAATCTATATAAAATATGTTTTATCGTGTTTTGAATACACTATTTACGAAATTCATTTTTTCATTTGTAACAAATTATTATTTCTTATAATGTAATATATTAGCTAAAGGCGGTTAAATTGAATTTCTCATGTAATGTAATTAATTATCATTGAAATTTCAGCAGGAATACTTATATTTCATAATTAATATAAATGTTACCAAAAAACATTTAATGACATTAACATTGGCTTCTATACGTCAGAATAACTTACAATATATTTTCTTAAATTTGAATTATGATCGATATGTGATTGACTCAAATCGTCCGAAGTCTAATGAAGAAATATTAAACCAATATTAAACGTTTATAATTCCTAAAATATTGCAAATAGAGTATTTTTCCACACAGACAAACAATGGATTCATGTCTGTTGATTTAAGGAGATTGATCATTACTTAAAATTTCCAAGTGTCTTTTATAAAGAATTTGAAAAAATCATCTTAGGACAGTGACATAATGTATTTTTCGCCTTAAAAATGCCATTTATGCTTGTTTACATACACTTTATAAATTATCTCAAAAATGTATGTACACGTGTGTGCATATATATATACTTATATATATATATATATACATATTTGTATGTATATATATACATATGCATTTTTTAATTTGTAATGATCCTGGTCTTCAGGACTCTGGCGTAAATAATTACTAGCTGCCCGCCTAACGGGAATATATCTAACAATATCTTTCCACAAATTATAGTATCCGTTCACGGAAGTCACGAGGATTCCAAGAGTTCCTGTTGCCGCTTCCTATAAAAACCCCAAGATACTAGGAATCCCTCTTTTTTGTCTCTTTTGTCTTCATCATAATGCAACGCTCCTGTAGCTTTTTGTTCTGTGTGTTTTCTGTGATAAGCGTTATGCTTAAGATGTGTATGTTTGTACGCGTTGTGAAATAATAAAAGAAAAGGGGCAATTAAAGTTTTGAAGAAAATATGTGATCGACAACAAAATATTGAAAATGTGTAATGGAATTATGTTTTCTGCTCCGCTACAACTGGAAAAAAATTAATTCTATAATTATGTATTACAAAATCCGAAAAGGAAAAATTAAAAAGCTTCAAGTTTTGTGTGAGATTTAATGAAAAAAATGCTTAGTGAAATTAAAGGGAATTACACTGAAGGGCCATTTAATTAGGGATAGCAAGAGCTATGCAAATTGTGTAGCGCTGCACATTATTTATGCGCAAATGATAGCTTTCTAGTGACTGCATATATAGCAGTTAGCACAGCATATATGTAGTTGTTCTGAACTCGTTGTTGGAATTGCCAGTATGCATAAACTGCCTAATTTAGACGCCTTCTATCGCTGACAAATCATAGGTGCGTGACGCATGGTCCATTCAATTTCCGAAATCGTTAGACAGATAGGGTTTCAATGTCGAAAGTGCCAAGAGTATATAAAGAATACACGGATTGTGGACAAAAAACTAACGATCGTGCAAACAGCAAAGGACATCTTTCCTTAACAGTGAGTGGTGAGAGACGGCTCTAACGTATTGTACGTAGCCAGCGAAGCAAAACATTTGCTCAAATTTCCACCTAGTTGAATGACGGTGCCAGTTGTACTCTCAGTAAACGGACTGTGTAACGCTCACTTCACCGTATGGGTTTGGAGAGCCGTTAATCTACGAGAGTACCATTGCTCAATGTTCGCCATCGGGCTGAACGTTTTGCTTGAGCAAGAAAGAACATAGACTGGTGTGTAGAGGACTGAAAACGAGTAACATGGACTGATGAGTCTCGATTGAGACTACTTAACGCCTACAAGAAGCTAAGAATATGGCGTCAGGCTCATGAAGTCATGGATACTGCATGCCAGGTTGGAACAATACAATTGCATAGTGGCTGAATCATGGTCTGGGTTTTTTTCTTTCGTGGCACCGTTTGGGATCTATGGTGCGTGTACCAACCTCCCTCAATGTAATTCGGTACGGAAAGTTGATGGGGGATCACCTCCATCCGTTTATGCTGTTCTGTCAACCGCACATAATGGAGTTTTCCAGCAAGACAACTATCCTTCTCACAAGTCTTCACAGTCCCGGTTGGATACTGGCTGGTTTGATGAGCATTCTTCTGAATTTTCTGTCATAAACCACCTAGAAGCCAAGAACTAAATCTTATTGAGCATCTTTTGGATGTTTTGTAGCAAAGCGTGAAAGGCCATCACACAGCACCAATGAACCTTATTGAATTATGGACAGCTTTAGACAATATTTGGCAAGAAATTTCCAAGGAATGATTCCAGGACTTGTTGAATCTATGTCTCGTCGTGTGTCATCCTTTATCAAGGACAGAGGGGGCCCAAATCGTTACTAAGTAGGTATCCCTAATTTAGTGGCACTTCAGTGTATTACACACACAGACACACACATATATATATATATATATATATATATATACATAGTAACTAGTAACTAGATGAAAGACTTTCAGACGGATCCAAAATTATCCCCCCACAGTTTCAATAAAACGGTTTTATTTTGACATAAAAGGAAAAATAATTATATAGCGCCTTCTCACGCTAGTAGAAATCAAAACGAAAACAAACTGAACCACCTTCTCTTGGTTCAACCGTACAACTCTCGTCTTGGAGTCATTCTCCCTTTAAACAAGAAACTGAAGCGGATGACAATAATGACCCTCTGTTGGCTAGGAAAACTATCCATCCACACACAAATAAACACACTCATATATATATATATATATGTATGTATGTACAGGGGCGTAACGGAGAACATTAGGGCCCCCTGCAAAGTCAGGTTTGGACCCCAAAGATCTAATATGTACTTGGCATCAGTCTGGCTTTGAGACCCCTAGAATCCCTGCTTCACCCGCTGCAAAGTGGGGGTGTACGTTACGTCACTGTATATGCACGTAATATTCCATATTATATCTTTCAGTAATATAAGCAAGAGGAGAATGGTTGGCAAGTCATGAAATTGCCTCAGTCGGCTACGTTTTTAGAATATCAAAAGATACATTTGATCTTTTCATGAATTCAATGAGCTACAAAATACATCTTGAAACCGGACCAAATATAACCCATACATTCATTAATAAATAAAATATTTAGAATGTTACGTATACACAATTTAACCATGCCCATGTGTCTCTGCAAAGGAGTCGAATCTACGATGAGTTTTTAAAATATTTATAAAGAGATTCCTAAATGTTTTGATTAATTCAAAAGAGAGAGAACGCGAGATCCAACACCTTTTACGTTTATTCCCTTCTGCAACAAAGTTACAAAGATGTTATTTAAGTAGAAAAATACTACCTTTTAAGGTATCCGACTACGTTTGGAACCGTGATTTTAAAAATGCTCGTAAATGGATAATTTTCATGATATTTAATGTCACCTAGATTAGAAGACATGTATAAAATTGTTCTAAGGACACTTTGACAAACAAAATTATTTAAATACAATATTTCGGTAAAAAATCAACTTAGAATAACCTTTTTTCAAAATGTTCTCCTTTTGTGAAAAATGCTTCTATTTTTATAATATTTTGACTGTATATAGCTCAGATCTCTGTACAGAAGCTCAACTATGAGTTTTCAAAAATTCACATTATTTTCAGAGTTACAACCAATTGAAATGATTATCGGCGTTTTTTTCTTAAAGTTTCTCCCCACTGTTGTCGTAAACCATGGATAAACCCCCTTCTAAGTTATATATTTCAAAAATTCTAGTTGAGCCTTTGTACAGAGGTCTGAGCTATATACAGGCAAAATATTATTATAATAATATCTTTTTCACTAAAGAAGAATATTTTTAAAATTTGTCATTCTGTGTTCATTTTTTGTCAAAATATTGTACTTAAATAATTGTTTACTGTATTAATATTCTTAAAATAATTATATACATTTATTCTAATCTAAGTGACACTAAATTTCATGAAAATTATTCAGTTATGCGCTTTCTTAAATTCACGGTTCCGAACATATTCGGATACCTTAAATAATCAAAATACGAACAAATTAATCAGAATGGCTGGAACAAATATATTTCGTTGGAAATTAACCTACCTAGTTATTTATGTTTTATAAATTCATTTTCAAAAGTATTTGGTTCAAGATGAATTTTAGGGTTTTCGACAAAGTTGCCTATTAAACATTTTGAAGTGAAATATATTATCAAAGCTAATTAAATAGACCATGTACCTACAGAAGCAAAAATGGAAGTTCGCGTGTTTGCGAGTGTAGTGTCTGTCGTGATGGAACATTAAATTATCTTTCCAACTTTTCTAGTGGTATATAAAATAACATTAAAAATTAGCATTGTTTGGGAAGTTCACTTAACTAAGGGATTTAAATGTTGTCTATTCCATTAAAATTTAATTATTTGAAAACACGCAATACGCTTTCATAAGTAGTTTTTTTTCAATTATTTTTATCTATTTATCTTATCTATTTAGAAAAGTTTTAATTACATGAAACCATATTGCTTCCGAGAACTGTAAGCCTATTTCCGCGTGGCTGGTGACTTTTCTTAAAGGGGGTATAGATCATTTTATCATCTAAGGTCAATGGAAATGTAAAAGTCATACACATTGCTGGCTATTAATTTTGAAAAACCATGAAAAGTGGATGATACAAACATCAAAATCTCGTGAAAAAGAAAATGCTTGGATATGTAAATGGTTGACACCAAACCACTATAGTGGATATGACGCTCGGCTTGTAACCGAGTGGGTTCGGGTTTGAATCCCGAATAAGGCATGGATGTATTTCTTCGGGAAAAGAAGTCGGTCTTTCACTTGTAATGAATTCCCATCTTCAATAGAAAGCAGGGCACCCCTCCTGTTATAAGCTAGGATCATCATTTATAATAAATGTCTATATTCTTCTATTTGTATTGTATGTTTAAGTTCTTCCACTTGTACATCGTATGTATTCCAGGATAAAAAAACACGACAGCTACAACATGTAAAGTGTTAGCATTTAAGTTATCCGACTACTTGCGACAACGTTTTTTTTTTAAACTACATATATATATGGGCGAGTCAGTGATGGCTCAACAGTCGCGTCTTTATTTAATTATAAATTTAATTGTTCGTAACTATTTACATACTATTTACAATACAGATCATCATTTAAAGTTTCACATATCCAATCTAAAAAACCGTCTGATATAGTTTCTAACAAAACTCTAGGAGTTGTCGTCTTTACTTCTTATCATTACAACATGGCGTCGTCTCTGATTTAGCGTCTTAGTGCGTCTAACAACTGGCAGGCTCCCAAAACACACAGAACGCTCCTAGGCATGCGCAGTACGGTTAGTGTTGTGGCTTGGAAATAGCGGCCGGCACCATACACATATATATATAACATACAATAAGTACTTATTTTCTATTTTATTTGAATCTAAATAGATAACAATAAACTACTCATCAATAATTGTAACCCCCCAAAAAAAACTATTCTTTGCATGAAAAAAAGTTACGTAATCGACTTCTAATTTTTTTCAGGAAATCCGTGTGTTCTGAACCTCCTCAGATTTGCCATGCATCAACACGCATCAACGAAGAATTTTTTGTTACGTCAGGACAGAACCTTCTTCTCGAGCGAAAAGATACTGGTCACAAGTTCATTATAATAACCAATCAGCCTTAATATTTTTAAATTTGGTTACCCTAAAGTAATAGGCTCTGGACTGATTTTGCAGATTATTCTCTGTCACAAAGGACTATTGTTTTTGCTACGAACAAATTGCCTTACCTGACCAC